GCGGGGGGGGGGGGGGGGGTTGTAGATAACATAAGATTAATAAAATAAAAAGTCATCTAAGTGAACTTGAAGAGCGTGCACTTTCATTGCTGTGTTTTTAAAACAGTACGGTTTTAAAAAGTGAGTTTTGTAATGTCAAATTACAAGATTTACTTTAAAGTACATTTTAAAACATGTTTTAATAATCTTTTGTCATTCTTTAAAAAGTTGATGTTTTGACACCTGATAATTTACTGATAATTTAACTTGATAATTTACTGCAACAGTAGTATGTTATTCGATATCACATTCAATACATTTTAATTGTTTAAAATTTCAGTTTAATCATGACAAATGTGTAATTGGTTGGTCAGTAATACTCTAAAATGTATTACTCAGCTTATTAGCTTATTATTGAAATTACATTTCATTTTTATTCAAGCTAATACATTGTATGCAAAGTATGCTAAAGTATAGTTGTTTTTACAAGAGACTGTTGCACACATGATGCTAATGTTAGCATCTAGCTAAATGTATTATCCTACAGTTTATACTTACATTTTTTTGGGAATTATATGCAAACTGGTATTCACCCAATGGCTTGTCAAATATAAAACTATATATATATAAACTCAGAATCAAATACAATTTTGATACAGTGTATATAAGACACACATTAAATTACAAGTGTTCCATATTTCAACTCTTCCTTGCTTTGGTGATTGATTTAGGTTGACGGGCTGTTCATCATAGGCTGGATGTATTTACCGCCCCATGATCCCCGCGTGGAGGACCCCATGCGTAGACGGCCACTCTTCCGCATACATATGTGGGAGAAAAACAAAGCCACCATAGAATGTATGTACGGACACAAGGGCCCTCATAAAGGAGACATTCAGGTAAATGTACCATATTTTTACCATAAAGGCCCAATTTTGCCATTATATTCCATAAGATATTGACCTTTTTCTTTCCAGACTGTGAAGAAAGATGAATTTTCCACCAAATGCAACCAGACGGATCACCATCGAATGCCTGGAGGAAGGCAAGAGGTAGAAAACTGGTATTGCACGGACAGATTTTGAGGTATACCATAGCTCTTCTGCATGGATGGATGTACATTGAGCCCCATGTGCTTGTGCAGGAGTTCAGAACGTGGCTGGAGGAGGAATGGGGAAGAACATTGGAGGACATTTTCCACGAGCACATGCAGGAGTTGATCCTCATGAAGTTCATTTACACCAGCCAATACGAGTAAGTCTTCGTGACTTCATCGCCTGTTCTCACCCAGAATGTACTAACAGTTTTATTTCCTCAGTTCAGTTTTTCGGTCGGATGGCAGATGTTTTAAATGTGTGTTTCCTGGTTTCAGTAATTGCCTGACGTACCGGCGGATTTATCTGCCCCCGTGCCTCCCTTCAGACCTCCTGCAGCCGGGCCTCTTCAAAGGGACGTACGGCAGTCACGGCCTGGAGATCATCATGCTGAGCTTCCACGACTCCAAGGCCAAAGCCACCAAACTTACCGTGAGTCTGATATCCAAAAATATAGACTGGTAGGGAACATATGAAACCGATCAAACCTTTACTATTCGAGGCACAGTTAAACACAAATAAACAATTTATAAATTAATTAATTAATAATAATTATAACAAAATGCCAGCAATGTATTTGCAGTGGAAACTTGGTACTTGGTACATGTTTTTTTTTTTTCATTTTTCATTGATACATTTCCGTATTGTCTCTTGACAGAATAATACGAGTAGAATAAAACGTCCTAAATTAAAAAAGAACACATTTTCAAAAAAAGTATCCAAATCTAAAAATGTTAATTTATTTGAAGATAAAGGTTCACAACACTTATATTATGTGTGATTTAGCATATTCATCAGCTCACGTGTTTTTTTTTTGTTTGTTAGGGTGACCCCAATGTCCCAGCAGGTCAGCTGACATTAGAAATCGACCTGAACTGCCCGGTGCATCTGCCGGACCTGGAGCACCAGCGGAGCATGGAAGAGCTCTCTCGCCTGGTGCTGGAGGTGCATGAGGAGGCCCAGAGGGGTTTACAGGCCCGGGACGCCCCATCAGAAGTTGCAGAGGTGGCCCCCCCTCAGGGGGCGGAGGGTTTGCATTCGGCTCCCCCTGCTGGAGCGGAGGGTGTGGAGCCAGGAGCTGCTGCCTGCAGCGCCGCACCTGAACCACAACCGTTTGTGCTGCCTCTGGGAGTCATGGCCCGTAATGAAGTGTATCCTCGCACCTGCAAGATGTGGTGAGTCTACTACTGTACTGTACATCTTATTACTGTACTGTACACATTATATAATGCTTATAAAATCAGCCATACGTCAGTATATGAATCCAAGTTCATTTCAACTTTTATTTTAACAGTATTTATATTTTTATTACCTTTGTTCATTTTATTATATTGTTAATACCTTAATAATAATTAATAATATTTTATAAAATAGGCTTAAGTGAATTAATTTAAATCAATTACCAAATTTAATTTGTTAAAATAAATACTTTTTTTTTGTCTCTATAATATCTTAAATATCATATATGACAATTATGTATTTATATATTTTTATACAGAAATAATCACTTAAATGAATGATATACTTAAAATAAATGTCATAATTTTAAATGAATGAATAATTATTATATTGTACTATATAAAAATGATATAAAGTAGACAAGAAAATGTTTTAAAATGTAACAAATGTAATATTAAATGCATATTAAAAAATAATTCATTATATTACGTCGTATTATGTATACAATTATATAAAATAGACATTTTTTAAATTAACGCTTTAAAATATTAAATGTATATGAATTATATTTAACTTATAATAGAATTAAATGTATAATATATTAAAATTAGGGATGCACGAATACCACTTTTTCCAGTACTCGCCCGATACCGATACTTTTATTTTTGGTACTTGCCGATACCGAGTACCGATACCAATATTTTTATTGCATTTGTAAATTTTTTAAATATTGGGTACAGAAACCAAAAGAGTATGTATAATGTTAGTTGGTTAACTTCATTTATCAAATAGATACAGTCAAACCAAAATGTATTCAGACACCTTCACACTTAAAAATTATTTAAAATGTAATAACATATTATATACATTTTTATTATTTAAATAGATTAAAAAAATGCATTTCTTTAATTATAATATGTTTTTTCCTTTATGCTTTTCAGTTTTTATGGAACAGGCCTGATCGCTGGCCACGGCTTTACGAGTCCAGAGCGCACACCGGGTCTGTTCATCCTGTTCGATGACGACCGCTTTGGCTTCATTTGGCTGGAGCTCAAGTCCTTCAGTCTGTACAGTCGGCTGACCGACCAGCTGTCCCACGCTCAGGCCCCCACCCTGGAGCGCTTCGAGGCTATGCTCCGCAACATGCAGTCATGGACATCCTGAGAGCAAACCTCACACTAGCTTTCTCATCAGGCACATCCTCTGGTATTACGCTCTGCACCGTCAGGGACCTCCCTGCTGACACACACACACACACACACCAGTGTGAGCTCATGTCTGACACACACACACACACACACGACAAGCTCGCGCATCTGCGCCGCCGCGCGCTCAATCCACTCATGCGCGCTCAGTTTGTTTACCAGCTCGCGCACATCAGCTATACAGTCAATACTGAATGTTTAACATTATATTCATTGCATACATATACTTCGTATACATCCTTAATCTCTAATAACTCCATTCTGCTGTCTGTTGTCGGTGTTTCTTTGTCTGAATATGGCACTTATCACATGCCGTGTGCTATCGGCGTTTGGTATCGGGGAATTTTAACGAGTACGAGTACGAGTACAAGAGCTCAGTATCGGCCCGATACCGATACCAGTATCGGTATCAGTGCATCCCTAATTAAAATAAATGTAAAAAAAATTAAATAAGTTTCTTGTAACTGCCTTAAATGATCTCATATATATATATAAAACTTATATAAAGTAGACATGAAAATGAATTCATTTTATATTCATTTCTATATATTATATAAAAACATGATAAATTCATTGTTAACTTAAATTTTAATTTATATTTTTTATTTAAATATATGTGTGTGTGTATACGTATTGTTTATTATTCTAACTTTTAATTTTTTGTATTAAAACTAATATAAAGTACATATAAGAAATTCAAAATTAACTTAAATTTAAATTTTAAAGTGTGTGTGTGTGTATATATATATTTTTTTGTGTTTGCTTTAATTATAATATGTTTTTTCCTTTATGCTTTTCAGTTTTTATGGAACAGGCCTGATCGCTGGCCACGGCTTTACGAGTCCAGAGCGCACACCGGGTCTGTTCATCCTGTTCGATGACGACCGCTTTGGCTTCATTTGGCTGGAGCTCAAGTCCTTCAGTCTGTACAGTCGGCTGACCGACCAGCTGTCCCACGCTCAGGCCCCCAGCATGGAGCGCTTCGAGGCCATGCTCCGCAACATGCAGTCATGGACATCCTGATAGCAAACCTCACACTAGCGTTCTCATCAGGCACATACTCTAGTATTACGCTCTGCACCGTCAGGGACCTCCCTGCTGACACACACACACACACACACACACAGCACTCCTGCTCGCATCCGCACAGGTGTATTTAAGCCACATGCCCATACATTTGTATTATATTAGGCCTTTCTTATCAGCTTTTTAATTAATTTATTTTTGTAACCTGGAAATGGCGACGAAGATGACGACAATGTGAAAATTTGCCCATAAACTCAGCTGAGCGTGCCTCTGATACCTTACCGAGATACTTCAAACTCTCAAATCCTGTGGTTTTGTGCTTTAGAAATTTGTCCTTGATGTGGCAACATCTGTAGTTGCTTTTAATTGATTTTATTCAGTTATTTCTTTTTTTATCTTTATTTGTAAAAAGTCCACACCATATTTGAAAATGCTTCCATTTTTTTCTGCCAACACTCACTGAAAACGAATGACTTCCAGCTGCTTTGTTGCTGCAAATGTCAATTTTATCACCCCATAATGCGTCCATTAATAAGTACCATAACACTAAAAAAGCCAAATTTTCTTATTTAAAGGAATAGTTCACCCAAACATCAAAATTTGCTGAAAATGTCCTCATCCTCAGGCCATTCAAGATGTAGATGAGTTTGTTTCTTCATCAGATTCGGAGAAATGTAGCATTGCATCACTTGCTCACCAATGGATCCTCTGCAGTGAATGGGTGCCGTCAGAATGAAGAGTCCAAACTGGTTTAAATTTGAATCATCTTGATAGATTTGTTTATAACAAACATGCAGCTTTTCACTTCATAATATATTCATAATATCCAAATCTGTTCTGATGAAGAAACGAACTCATCTCTAACTTAGATGGCCTGAGGGTGAGTGAGCTAATTTTCATGGTTAGGTGAACTATTCCTTTAATTTATATCTACCATACTGTTAAAATTGCAAGTGAATAGTTAATTGGTTAGCCACCAAATTTACGGCCACGACGACAGTCTCATTTCCACATGATAGGGATTCTGTTCATCTCGCTGTGCAGCTCTCTTCCAAGTGCTCTTCCCTACGCAGTGTAGACGTTTATCGGAGGCAGATTTCCTCCGGCTATACTTTTGTATTTGACTGCAGTATTACTAACATTTGAAAATGGAAAAAAAAAAAAATCAGTATAATGTAAAGTGAATATATACGTATGTAAATGCATTGAAAATATTTAAACATTTATCAGTATATTTCAGCTTTGTTTTAGGGATGATTGTATATATGATCGATTAACTAATTTAAGTATATCGCCTGTGTTTACAACCTCTGAGTTGAGTGGCAATTGTTTTAAGTGTAATATTCTCATAGAATTGGCCGCTTACGTGGACTGATATCCTACAACTACTGATTTTATTCCAAATAAGATGTAATTTCAGCGGTTTACATTGACTCCTATTTGAATCATATTTTAAAGCATTTGTGGAAATGTATGCCAAAACTGACAATTAACTCTGTTCTTTAATTTTTTATTTCAGTTCCCAATGAATCACATCAAGTTCTGTCCCTGTTTTTCTTGTTCAGTGTTCTAATTCAATTCATGTTGACTCAAGTCTGTAATTTGCCTCCATCTTAAAGGAATAGTTCACCCAAAAATGAAAATATACTCACCCTCTGGTTATCTTAAGATGTAGATGAGTTTCTTCATGGGAAGAGATTTGTAGAAATGTAGCATTTCATCACTTGCTCACCAGTGGATGCTCTGCAGTGAATGGGTGCCGTCAGAATGAGAGTCCAAACAGCTGATAAAAACATCACAATAATCCACACCACTTTAGTCCAACACTTAACATCTTGTGAAGCCAAAAGCTGCATGTTTGTAAGAAACAAATCCATCAAGACATTTTTTTTTTATCCACTCATTCAGATGAGACAACTTTTTCCACTGGAGAAAGCAATATTATGGATTATGGACTCGTATTTTAGCTGGAAGCAATGGTTTAAAAAAAAAAAAACATTAATGATGGATTTGTTTCTTATAGATGTTAACTGTTAGACTGGAGTCATGTGGATTATTGTGATGTTTTTATCAGCTGTTTGGACTCTCATTCTGACGGCACCCATTCACTGCAGAGGATCCACTGGTGAGCAAGTGATGTAATGCTACATTTCTCCAAATCTGTTCTGATGAAGAAACTCATCTACATCTTGATCAGGGTCCCGATTCATTGATTCACAGATGCTTCAAGTCTGAGTTTCTCTCCATCATTTATCTACAATGAAAATTTAGCAAAGCACTGTGCCTAAAACTGTAATTTATACATTTGTGTTGTTTTTTAATTTCCTTATTTTGTAATTATATTTAAAGTAAAACACAAGTTGTCAAAGTTTTTTTTATGTGTACATTTGATGTTAATCTGCTATTTGAAAAAAAAAGTATTTTTAAGTATTTATTTGTCAATTCCTCAATCATAATATTGTCAATAGTTGAATTATTGTCGTCCATGTAAGTTTGCCTGTTAGAAAATCTCAAAGCGCAAATTCATGACTAGTATGCACCCCGTTGCATTCAAATTCAGGGAGGTTTGCAGCTTTAGCCTTCGTTTGTTCTCAATAAAATGGAGGAATATAATTCATTATATTTAATGAATAATCCAGCAAACCCCATCACTGAAAACCAAACTATGTGTTAGAGTTCTGTGGACAACCCCTGAAGCAGAACAGGCCTCTGGTTACCATGACAAGCAATGACAAATCATCTGATGACTGGTTTTATTGCTCAAAGGAATGGAACTCACTCCATTTCCACATAGGAAAGACACATAATGCCCATAAAACAGGACTCTTCCCCATTCTCTTATAGAAAACCTTCTATGAATGACATGCATATCTCCAGGACATTGTGTGTGTGTATTATTACTGTTCTTGTATAGTGTCTTTTGTATTGTTGTAGTGTATATTGTATTGTGCATGCTCATGATAGAAACACTAGGTAATGTAGCCTCACCTATACCATGTTTGGTATCTCTGAATTCGTACTTTGATGATCTAAATGAGAGTGCATATTATATGTTGATACCTATGCAACATATCCGTGTTATAAGAATCTTTAATAGTTTTGCACCAACACCCAATCCAGTTACATATGCAAAACACCATGCTAGAAGACAAAAGAGTCGTAAACTTTCCCTCCGAAAGTTTAAGGCACCATTGGCTCAATGACCCCCTGCAGGTTCGCTGGGTGAACAGATTAGTTGATGGTAATATTAATTCTGCTATAATTATACTGGCAGCTGATATAAATTATTGTAATTAATTATCATTTTAATTATTTATATACATTTCCCCTTGAGCTCATTTGCTATGAAGCATTAGTTGCTTGGACATTTATTTGTCATATGATCAAATAATAAATTTTCTATCAAATTCGAACTTTAACACCAAAATAAACTCAATACTCATGATTTTCTCAGGTTAATTAATTAAATTCTTACATTGAATCACAGTTAATTTTTTGTGTCATCCATATATTCAAGTGCTTTGTGTTAATATCTGATCTGATTGCAGTTCTGAGCGCTCTCTTTTCTCTCGGCTTTGACGTATGAGATCTGGGAGTGTCTTGGTCATGAATGCATAGTGTTTCCCCTGCAGGTTCTTCCCAGCTTTCTGTTCCAGTCCAATGCCGAGATACTCAGCCTCATCCTCGTATTCAGGCCAGTGTGTCAGGCCCAGACCATTTGGAGACCTGCCGATCCAAAAATAGCTGTATTAGAGTGCAGAAACAATATACTTTGTTCTTCTACACACACAAGAGGAGTGATATTTTACCCGGTGTGTGCAAAGTTCCCCCAGTAGGCCATCACAGTCCTGCACAGCTCTTCCTCTTCCTTTGTGAAAGGAGCTAAGAGGATTGAATCATCGGTTATTTAAGACGCTTTCGGAAATGTTTAGTGTCAGTAAGGATGTATTGTAATGATGAGTCTTACCGGTTGCTTTGAGGTGGGCTTTAGCGAAGCAGGTGCCCTGGATAAAGAATGGTTCATCTGCATGGTCGACACCAACAAAGCTGGGCCTGTTCTTCTGGATCATACTGGGAGGATGCTGGAACTCGTACAGGTAAACCGGCGCTCCTGAGGCTACAATCACAACAATGAACCTTGAGTTTACAGACATTTTAAACAAGTGAAAATGATTTAAAGGGATAGTCCAGCCAAGAATGAAAATCCTGTCATCATTTACTCGCACTCAATTGTTCCAAATCTGGGAAAAATACTGTGGAAGTCAATGGCTACCGTCAACTGTTGTCACATGAGAGTGAGTAAATGATGACCATTTTCATTTTTGGGTGAACTATGCCTTTAACTCCAAGAGTATTTCACTGATTTTGAGGAGCTAAAAGATCATGTAAACATAATGCACAATCGGGTTTTATTTTTTTATTTTTTTCATTACTTGGCTGCATTTTGAAATAATTAACATGAAGGCTTAACCAGATTTTAAATTACGGTATATTTAAAATGTAAATAATGTATTGTTATTAAAATGTAATTTACATATAACTGAAATATTTAATTTTAATATATACATTTAATATTACTATATAATATTTTCCATAATTCAGCAATGATATATTTTGAATGTTTTCCATGTTTTTAAATATGTTGTAAAAATGTAATTTATTCTTTTTACGCAAAGCTGAATTTTCAAGCATCATTACTCCAGTCTTCAGTATCACATGATCCTTCAGAAATCATTCAATATGCTGATTACGTTGAATTATTATCGCCATTATTATTATTATTGGTCCTCAATTATTATTCTTATTATCAATGCTGAAAACAGTTTTTGCTGCTTAAAGGGATAGTTCACCCAAAATGAAAATTAGACCATTATTTACTCACCCTCAAGTCATCCTAGGTGTATATGACTTTCTTCTTTCAGATGAATCCAATCGGAGTTATATTAAAAATTGACTTTGATCTTCCAAGCTGTTTAATGGCAGTCAGCGGGTGTTGCATGCATCAGTCCAAAAGAAGTGAAATAAAGCGCATACATCCATAATAAAAAGTGTCTCACATGGCTCTGGGGGGTGAACAAAGGCCTCCTGTATAGCGAATCGATGCGTTTTTGTAAAATATCCATATTCAAACTGTAATAATCACTTTAATGTAGCTTGCGCTCACTGTTGTACACTGGAAGCAGCTCCGGGCGGATGACGTATGAGGTCAGCGTTGCGCATGCGCCGGTGAGTCTCGTGAAAACCAACGTTTGTTTACAGGAGCAAAGGAAGCAAAGTGTCCTTACTTTAGCAAAGGAAAACCAGTCTCCTCTTGGCTTATATCGAAATCCTCCGACATTCTTCTTTGCAAATCCTCGTTTTGTACTTCTAATTCGTGACCGTTGTTTTGTTTTGATCCCCTGCGCTTCTGCGTGCGTCACTTCTGAGCAGTGCATGCGCAAAGCCGACCTCATATGTCATCCGCCTGGAGCTGCTTCCGTTTACAACAGTGAGCGCAAGCTAGATTAAAGTGATTATTACATGAACTAACCCTTTAATATTTTAGTGGAAATCGTGATACATTTACAGGATTTTTGATGAAAGTTGAGAAGAACAGCATTTATTTGAAATAGAAATATTTTTTAGAAATATTTTTACTGTCACTTTTTGTCGATTTAATTCTGAATGAAATTATTATTTATTTATTTTAACTCTTGCTTCCCAGATTCTACAAAATTACGAAGTGGCACAACTGTTTTCAGCGTTGATAATAATAATAATAATAATAATAAATGCTTCTTGAGCACCAAATCATCATATTAAAATGATTTCTGAAGTAATGATGAGTAATGATGCTGAAAGCTTTGATCACAGGAATAAATTACATTTTTAAATATATTACAATAGAAAACAGTTCCTTTCAAATTGTAATAGTATTTCACATTATTACTGTTATTACTGAATTTTGCCTTGGTGAGCATAAGATAATTTTTGTAGTTATTCCAAACGTTTGACCTGTAGTGTATATATACTTTTATGTTAAAATGTAAATTTAATAAACTACTTAATATAATCAGAATTTAAAATTCTTTGTTTCTTAAGTATTATGAAATCCTTTTTCTCCATACATACAGCTGCAATAGTCCAATATGAATAGATGAATAATTCCCTGCTTCTCACCTCTGTGGTATTTTGCCAGTTGGAGGGTAGGGATGTTAAACATAACGTCCCCCATCATCTCTCGATAAATGTCTCGGATTTGAATGGGGTCGCTTGTGTCGCCCAGGTACTCGTTCGCCACCTGATCAACGATCCACCGATCCCTGGGCTAATTACATTCAAAGAAAAGCAAACATAAGCTACAGAAGAAAGAAATCCAGTGTGCTTCTCATTTAAAGGGTAAAATAATAAAGATAATGTAAATGTGCATTGTGTTGAGTTGTGACTTACATCAGGATACGTAAGGGTCAAGTCTTTTATGGCTTGGTCTTTATCCACTCCATCAATCCATCCTTTACCCGCAAAATACTGTGGAGACATAACATCCAACTTTAGCATCAAAATATAAAACCAAATATGTGATTATGCCGTAAATGTGTCTGAGATCTTTATAT